GTGACTACTGCTAACGAGTTGTGCATGCCCATCATAAAGCCCGTCTCGTCAAAATTGTACATGTCGTCATCCTGGATCCCATACTTGGCTTTAGTATTCTGTACAAGGCGGAACTAGCCCTGCATAAGCTTAGGATCTTCACAGAGGGCTCTCTTGTAGTCGTACTTTCGATTAAACTTCATCTTAAGCTCTAGGCGACGCTTTATGAATGCTTTAGGCCAGTTAGGGCCAACAGGGTCGCGGTGGCGGGCAGCCAGCAAAGAATCAGCTAGATCTTTGACAGCAGAAAGGCGCAGCGGAAATCCTCTTGCATCAAGATTAAGAATATTCTTGACAATCACCTCCTCTTCTGTTATAAGTAGTTTCATTGAGTTGGGCGAACAATCTTGTTGAGAAGGCTTTCCTGCGAGTCTTCGTCTTAGGGTACGTTTAGGCACGTTGTAGAGAGCTGCAGCGCGTGGAATGTTAATTGTCGCGTTGCATTTAATAGCCTGAATTGCAAGCTGTACTTGAGACTCTTTTGAAGACTTTTTTGAATGAATTTGTTGAGACATCGCGAGTAGTAGTGAAAGTTGATGGGGGCTTGGCATTTTCGGTCACTCGCTATTCTCGGCCACTCGCTATACTTTGACGTTACTATTAAAAGTATATGATGTAGTGGTGTGGTGTGGAACTGCGATGTCTTCTCAGTAGGTGGAACAGAACGGTGGGCTCTTCCCCTTTGCCTTAAATGCTAGAAGAGGGGAGAGAGAGTAAATTATAAAAAGTTATATTTTTAAGTAAGAGATTTTTCTAAGAGATATTATTAATTTCTTTTTTCTATAGTTAGACTTAGCTACTAATTTATCTACTCTTAAGAGAGTGAGTAGTGCGTAGATAGCATAAGGGTCATAGTGACCCTATGCCTTGGCACACTATCTACGCACTACTTACTCTCTTAAGAGAAGATAAATTAGTAGCTAAGTCTAACTATAGAAAAAAGAAATTAATAATATCTCTTAGAAAAATCTCTTACTTAAAAATATAACTTTTTATAATTTACTCTCTCTCCCCTCTTCTAGCATTTAAGGCAAAGGGGAAGAGCCCACCGTTCTGTTCCACCTACTGAGAAGACATCGCAGTTCCACACCACACCTCTACAATAGCACAAAGGTCATAGTGACCCTGTGCCTCGGCACAATAAGTGTTTACTTTTTAATATAGTATTATTAAATATATATAAAAGTAAGCTAGAATTTTTTTACATAAAATAAAAATAGTATTATAGAAGCTATAATTAAAGTATCTTTTTGTAATGGGCGGGCCCAACGGGCCGAGCGTACGACTACATACGCCATCCATAGCCAAAAAGGCAGTAACAAGACTTCAAGCTTCTTGAAGTCCAGGTAGTCGTATAGATATACTCGCTTAGAAGCTAAGCTGTACATACGTAGGCGTAGCCTCTTACACTTTTTACTTTTTTACTTTACTTTAATAATAATCAATTATTGTCACTAATACTTATTTTAACTTACTAATTTAAGTAAAAGCTTTATTAACGTATTCCATCACCGAGCGGGCCACATCACCGAGTGTGCCACTTTTTCTTGGCATCACGAACTTCACGTACGAAAGATAATGCCCCAACAACAGAACGCGATATTAACTCAGCAAGAAGGTAGGCTTACTCTAGCTGTTCAGGCCTATCGTACAGGCCAGTTTAAGAGCATTCGACGCGCTGCAGCAGCCTACAACGTCCATCATCAGCAGATCTCTCGGCGGCTTTAAGGAATCACCTTTTAACCTACAACACAGCCAAATTGCTAGAAGCTAACTAAGTCTGAAGAGCAAACTATCGTACGATATATTCTTAACCTAGACTCGCGAGGATTTGCCCCCCGTCTATGTGAAGTAGCAGATATGGCGGAGAAACTACTACGCGAACGAGATAGCGAGCCTTTAGGCAAATGCTGGGTAGAGCGGTTCGTTACTCGTATAGACGAGCTTAGAACAGCCTTTAGTTAAGCAAAGGATCGTTAGAGAACTTAACAAGAGGATCTAGAGATTATCAACGCGTGGTTCAAGCTCGTACGAGAGACGGTTGAGAAGTATGGAGTTCATTCAGACGACATCCATAACTTTGATGAAACTGGCTTTCAGATGGGCGTAATTGGCTCAATGAAGGTAGTCACAGGCGCAGAGCGTCGTACGAGGCCTACTCTCACGCAGCCAGGCAATCGCGAGTGGGTTACAGTCATCCAGAGCATCTGCGCTGCGGGATACGCTACCCCGCCATTCATTATCTACAAGGGACGCGTCCACATCTCTGCATGGTACGAAGAAGCGGATATACCGTACGACTAGAAGCTTTCAGTATCAGAGAACGGCTGGACGAACAATGAGCTTAGTCTCGCGTGGTTAAAGCACTTTGACGAGCATACAAAGACGCGTCAGGTGGGGTTTTACAGGCTACTCATCCTTAACGGCCATAAGAGCCACCTTAACCAAGAATTTAAGGATTACTGCCTCGTACGAAAGATCCTTACCCTCTATATGCCTGCTCATTCATCGCACATACTTCAGCCACTTAACGTTGTCTGCTTTTCGCCTCTTAAGCAGAAGTACTCTCAACGCGTACGAGACTTAGCACGCCACCATGTCTAGCATATTAATAAGGAGCGCTTCCTTCCAGCCTTTCAAGACGCGTTTTTTAAACGTGTTTACGTCCGATAACTACAAGAAGGCCTTTGAGGCAGCAGGGCTAGTCCCTATCGACGCGCAGAGAGTTATTAATCGCCTTAACGTACGCCTTTATACTCCACCACAAGAAGCTTAGCTAGAAATACCCTAGACGTCAAGAACACTAAGTAATTCGCATGAATTTGGGTTACAATCAAAGCTTGTAAGAGAGTCTTTCGTACGATCGCTAACTACTGCACAAGAAGGCTTTTTAAAGCTTATTAAAGGGGCTGAGGAGATGCTACATAAGAATGTGCTTATAAAGGCCCGCGTAAGAGAGCTTGAAGAGCAATTAGCAGCAGTAACAAAGCGCCGAGGGCGCAAAAGAAAGCGAATTCAGACAGGTGGGACACTAGACTTTGGTGCAGGGGCATCGCAGGTAGCTGAAAGTAGTTCTGCTGGTCGTACGACATCAAAGAAGGCACGTGGTGAGGGTAGTCAAGAAAGGGCCCTACTAGGTCAACGGCACTGTAGAACCTGTGGGAGGACAGGCTATAACTCTCGTACGTGCTAGAAAGATGTAGAAGAAGATTCTCTTTTAGATACAAGTAAGTTGTACGAAGCATCTATAGCTAGTGTAGAGTAATCTAAGTTTTCGTACATGAAGTTCGTGATGCCAAGAAAAAGTGGCACACTCGGTGATGTGGCCCGCTCGGTGATGGAATACGTTAGCTATATTATAACTTTTAAGTAAATATGAATAATAATTTAGATTTTAATTAAGATTAAGTAAACTAAGTTTTTGAAGTAATTATGCCTATTATTAATACTTATATAATTGTAGAATATAAGCTTTGATATATAACTATAGTTATAATAGTATACTAAAAGTAATAAAGTTGTACTTATTATCAAGTATTATAAATTAGAGTTTTAATAGTAGTAAAAGCTTATACTATTATTAACTAGTAAGTTAAAAATAAAGCTAAAAAGGCTAGTAAAGCTACTCTATGGAAGGCTTACTGTATACTATGCCAAGGCACAGGGTCACAATGACCCTTGTGCTATCTACGCACTACTTACTCTCTTAAGAGTAGATCAATTAGTAGCTAGGTCTATAAGAAAAAGGAAAAAATAATATCTTTTAGAAAAATCTCTTATTTAAAGACACAATTCTTTATAATTTACTCTCTCTCCCTTTCTCTATGACCTAAGGCAAAAGGGGAAGAGCCTACTATTCTGTTCTATCTACTAAGAAGACATCGCAGTTCCACACTACACCTCTACAATACTTATTAAGTAAGTAGCTACTTTATAATAAAATAAAATACTATAAATTTTTACTATATAAGTAACCAATACTGTCTTTATAACTTCACTATTTTGATTTATAATATTTTTATATCATTACTAAGATATTAGCTGGTTTAGATAGGCTTATAGCAAAAATTTACGTTGAGCCGGTTATTTGCGTTGAGCTGGCTAGCGCCAACCTCCGGTTGGCGTGTGGAGCGAGTAACCCAATGCCCTAGCTATAACAAAAATATCCCGAACTTATTACGTGTGTCTCACGCAATCGGGCCTACTACGGATCGCGCGAAACAAGCACTACCACCTAAGTCTCGATCTTGCTTAATTCTACTACAGCGGACGCGGATACTCCATAATACCGAACAGGGTGGATCCCTTGCATCGGCAAAATGCAAGCGTTGGGGTTATGACATGCGTACACATGCAGCCCTTGTGATATCAATGCAAACTAATGATCAAGCTAATGATTCATGCTCACTAGTCATCTCCGCATGTCAAAAGACGAGCTATCACGTTTCTGTCTAACACCGAACTACTCAAGCAACTCAATAGACCTTCTAGATAGGGAAGGAATACGTTGGCTATGATGGTGGGGACTTGGCATTCGGCAAGTTTCCTAATGTATTTAGCAAAGCCTCGTCAACGTCTTGGGGTGAATGAATATTGTAAACACTGAATACCCAACGTTTCACTGTGCCTGCTATTGTGCCAAAAACTCCTCTACAACCTTCTGAAAATAAGAAGCATCTGCACACAGCGGGACTGTTTCAGAGCGTTGGCAAATTTGTGTCTCTAAAGCTTGAACCGGCATACCATACACCACAGCCATGGCTACCGACAAGACGATGCCCATAGCCATCATTGGCATGAACATGAAGTTCCCAGGTGACGCAGTATCGTCACAAGCCTTCTGGGAACTAGTAATGAGCGGGAGGAATGTATCTAAAGAGATACCCGCCGACCGGTTCAACATAGATGGCACGGAGTCCCTGTGTACAGAAATAGAAGAACCAAATGCTAACGTTAACCAATAGCTTTCTATCACCCCGACCCAAACCGACTAGACAGCGTAAGTCGGAACAATGATTCTCAGTCTTCAAAACATCCAAGCTGATTTGAGCAGCTACGCATACGCCATGCCCATTTCATGGAAGAAGACCCACGCAGTTTCGACGCCCCCTTCTTCAACATGTCATACGCAGAGGCATCGGTTCTCGATCCGCAACAGCGCGGCCTCCTCGAGGGTGCCTACCGCACATTTGAAAACGCAGGCATTCCAGTGGAAACGCTGCCTCGCTCCCGCACATCTGTCTACTGTGCCTCGTTTTCGCGCGACGGTGAAACAATCACCGGCCGTGACTTCTCTGCTCAGTCCCGCTACCATGCCACAGCCAATGGCTCGTCGATGCTGAGCAACCGCATCAGTCACTTTTTCGACCTCGCCGGCCCTTCGCTGACCGTCGATACAGCCTGCTCATCAGGCTTGTACGCGCTACACCTTGGTGCCCAGAGCATTCTTACAGGCGAGAGCGCCATGTCGCTTGTCTGCGGCGCGAATACATTTATCACGCCTGAGAGCCAGGCGCTCGCACTTAGCAATGGCGGGTTTTTAAGTGTTGATGGTAAGAGCTACAGCTTCGATGCGAAGGCGAATGGGTATGCAAGGGGAGAGGGTTTTGGATTCGTGTTGCTGAAGCCACTGGATGCTGCACTGAAGGATGGGGACGTTGTGAGGGCAGTTATCCGAGCAACAGGTGCAAACCAGGATGGTAGAACACCGAGTATCACACAACCGAGCCAGCAGGCACAGTTTGATTTGCTGCGTGATACATATCGCGTTGCGGGGCTTGATGTGGCCGATACGGATTATGTTGAGGCTCACGGCACTGGAACACCAGTCGGTGACCCAATTGAAGCGGCTGCTATAGGGCAAGCTTTCCGCGAGGGCCGCAAGCCTGACAGGCCGCTTTATGTGGGTTCGGTAAAGGCGAACATAGGTCACTTGGAAGGTGCTTCTGGCATGGTGAGTTTGGCTGCTGGACTGGTGTGCACACACATGTCTCTAACGTGCTTGCTTTAGGCTGGTGTCATCAAAGCTGTTCTGGCGCTAGAGAACGCGGTGATTCCACCGATTGCCATGTTCGAGAAGGCAAATCCTGCTATTGATGTAGAGGGTTTCCAGCTTGCGGTAAGAGTTTCTGCTGTCAACTCAAAGAGATTTTCTTACTGATTTGAAATAGTTTCCCAAGGAAGCGATCCCATGGCCGACAGGAGATATTCGCAGAGCATCTGTCAGCTCCTTTGGATATGGAGGTAGTAACGCCCATGTGATCCTCGACGATGCGTACAACTACCTACGCAGCCATGGATTGAAGGGCTTGCATCAATCCGTTGGTGAGTCCACATATACTAATGGAAACACCAACGGAAATTCCAACGGCCACGCCAATGGAAACTCCAATAGTCATACCAACGGACACACCAATGGTCATTCTAATGGTCATTCTAATGGTCATTCCAACAGTCATACCAACGGGAATAGCAACGGTCACACCAATGGCAACGGTGCTCTTCCATCCGCAACCCCCTACGCCATCATCCCCTTCTCAGCCGCAGACAGCGACGGCACGAAGCGGCAGGCAGAAGCGCTCCAAACTTTCTTCTCTTCACACAAGGCCCGCGACACGGCAAACTTCCTCTCAGACCTAACATACACCCTCTCCTCACATAGATCCTTGCTCAAATTCCGTTCTTTTGCCGTCGTCTCGTCCCTCGCGGATGATCTTACGACCCTCGTCTCACCCAGCACCTTCAGCAGCACCTCGTCGGTCCCCGACCTCTCTTTCGTCTTTACAGGGCAGGGCGCCCAATATGCCCGCATGGCCACTGGCCTCCTGCACTACCCTATCTTCCGCCAAAGTCTCCTCGACTGTGATGCCTATCTCACCACCCTCGGCAGCACCTGGTCTGTGCTAGAAGAGCTTGAGAAGAACAAGGACGCCAGCAAAGTGGACAAGCCAGCGCTATCACAGCCCCTCTGCACCGCTATCCAAATCGCTCTCGTCGATCTGCTGCGCACTTGGGATATTGCTCCCCGCTCCGTGGTTGGGCATTCGTCGGGCGAGGTCGCGGCCGCGTACTGTGCGGGTGGGCTCGATCGCGAGAGTGCGTGGAAGGTAGCGTATTTCCGCGGTGTTGTGGCCGACAAGCTGGTTTCCGACCCAGCGAGAGAAGCGACAACGATGATGTCGGTGGGTTTGGGCAAGGAGGCTGTCCAGGCGTATCTGAAGGCTGAGCCGACAGTGACGGTCGCTTGTGAAAACAGCCCCATCAACGTCACGTTGTCAGGTCCGACAGCGGCGATTGCATGCTTATTTGAGAAGTTGGATGCCGAAGAGGTCTTTGCACGGAAACTGCCTGTGAAAATTGGGTATCACTCCGAGGCGCTGCGGGATGGTGCCGTTGAATATGAGGGTCTGCTGACTGGAATATGCGCGCCGGTGAGAGACAGCAAGGAGCCAAGCACTGTTGCATTCTTCTCCTCAACAGAGGGCGGCTTCATTACACTAGGGAGTCTTGCAAGGCCGAGCTACTGGGTAAAGAACCTGTTGTCCCCAGTCCTCTTCACCGACGCCGTAACAGCGCTAGTCAGTGAGCGGAAGCAAGCCACCAAGTTCCTCATCGAGATAGGCCCGCAGTCTGCTCTTCGACGGCCCGTCAAAGACATCCTCACGCACCTTGGGGAGGGCGAGGATAAATGGTCATACGCTGCTGTGCTGAATCCTCGTCAGCACGACATACGCTCACTGCTCGAAACCATCGGTAGCCTCTGGAGCGGCGGCCTCCCTATCGACCTCAACATACCCAACCAAGCGACTCTCAAGCCCAAAGCCCAGCCGAAACGCTTGACAGATCTCCCGTCCTATTCCTTCTCCCGGGCCAAGCTCTACTGGGACGAGCCACGTCTCAGTGCCCTCTACTCCAAGCGGCCCTTTCGGCGTCACGCCCTCCTCGGCTTACGCGAGAACGACTTCAACACTGCGCAACCAACCTGGCACCACAAAATCCGCCTCGCTGAAGCACCTTGGATTCTTGACCATGCTCTTGAAGGCTCACCGCTCTACCCCGGCACAGGTATGCTGGTGATGGCCATCGAAGCCACACGGCAGCTGATCCCGCCCAACGCAGCGATCAGTGGGTATAAACTCGAAAATGTACGGTTTATGCGCTCGATTCCTGTGAACGAGACGGAAAAAGGCACAGAGGCAAAAATCTATCTCCAGCCGCGCCGGCACACAGCCAAAGACGCTGCGCAGGGCGTTTATGACTGGCGAGTATTTACGCTCGGTGGCGACGAGTGGATTGAGTGTGCGTTTGGAAGCATTCGTGTCGAGCTGGAGGATGGCGACGACTCGCCCCAGACACTTGCGCGCAAAGCCAGGTGGGTGAACGCTGTGAGGGAGGAGCACGCCAATGCTGCAGGACAGTGCACGTTGAGTGTGCAGAGCTCACAGCTGTATGAGAACTTGAGTAAGAAGTCAGGATTTGACTACGGGCCGTATTTCCAAGGCTTGCAGGACATCAAGTACTCTCGCAACGGGTGTGCTTCTGGTACTCTTGCGCTGCGAGACTATGCTAAGAAGATGCCCTACGCCGCAGAAGACCCGTGTGTGATTCACCCTACGACATTCGACTCAGTTTTCCACGTGGGATTTGTCTCGCTGAGCATGGGAGGGTGGGAGGCTATACCAACACTGATGTTCAGCAACCTTAAGGAGCTATGGGTCTCACACAAGCTATTCACTCAGTCTGGTAACCCGCTGCTGCATGTCGCCACAAGGGAGGTGGCGCGCACGTTTAGGGAGTTTGAGTGGGATGCTAGCACCTTGCTTGCCGAGACAGGTGAGCCTGTGATTGTAGCCAAGGGTGAGCGTGGAACTGTCATCGCCGGTGCCGGTAGCAGCGCGCGCGACGACGACGGTGCCAGCCGCTTCTCGTATGGCATTGACTTCAAGCCGGACCTCTCGCTGCTAGGACCAGCCGAGACAGAGACCTATCTAAAAGCGCTCTATGCGCGCGACCCGCAATTCTCGCCGGACCCAAAGGACGCCGAGGCTGTCGACCGCGCGGATGCTATCGCACTGTATTTCATTGAGCAAGCCCTGGATAAGATTGAGAACGGTGAGCCGGTGACGTTCGACAATCATTTGACCAAATACGTGGATTTCTTGCGCAAGGTCCGCGCAAACAGAGAGAAATACACGTTGGCGTCGCGGGGACTTGGCCATTTGAACATTGAAGATGTCTTGCGCGAGGCGGACGGAGAGCCGACGCAGAAGCTTGTGAAGAAAGCCGGCCAGCATCTTTATGGAATCTTGACGGGTACAGATAATGCGTTGCAGATTATCTTTGAGGGCAATCTTGCTAACGGTAAGTCCAACAACTCATGCCAGGTTAGAGAACGAGAAGACTGACATGGTGTAGATTTCTACCACTGCGACTTCTACTCGCGTCATTACCGCAAGGCAGGCGCATATATGAACATCCTAGCACATGGGAATCCTCAGTTGAGAGTTTGCGAGGTTGGCGCAGGAACGGGCAGTGCCACAAGCAAGGTGCTTCCGTTCTTGGTTGACAGTGAAGGTCTTGAGGGTGATCAATTAGTCCGGTACGTTGATTCGAGCAGGTCCCTCCTGTTTTATCCCTCCTCTTGGGAATCAGTCAGGCTCAAGGACTGCCGGCTAACAGACTTTTTCCCAGTTTCGGCGAATATGCCTACACTGACGTGTCAGTTGGCTTCTTCGAAAAAGCGCGCGAGAAATTCACCTTCGCTGAGAAACACATGCGCTTCGCCAAACTCGACCTTGAAGTATGCCCCTCCCTCCAAGGCTTTGAGCTCGGCAGTTACGACGTGATCTTGGCCTGTAATGTAATTCACACCACATCGGATCTCATGAAGTGCCTCCGCGACCTGTACGCTCTCCTGCGCCCTGGTGGCAAGCTCATCATGATGGAGACCACTGTTGACAACATCCGCGACGGCATCATCTTTGGTTTGTTGCCAGGGTGGTGGATGCGCGAGGGGCATTGGTGGGAAGGCGAGGATGTTGATGCTGTTCCTGGGGAGGACGAGGCGCTAGGACCTATTCTCACTGAAGATGGATGGGACGCTGCCTTGAAGACGGCGGGCTTCTCGGGTGTGGATATGATATTCAGGGATAACGAGTACAAACCCCGCCACCGTGTCTCAACGCTCGTCGCAACGAGACCAGAGGAGATTGAGTCCAAAGATGCGAGGGAGAGCTGGGTTATCATCGCGGATCCCGCACAGGCTGCACATGCCGATGCGCTGAAGGCGAAGCTCTCTGCTGTGCCATGGATCGGCGAGACCAAGACGTACACCCTCGACGGTCTGGTTGCTGCTGGGTTGGAGCTGAGCAGCACCAATGTCATCAGCTTACTCGAACTCGACGCCTCCCTCTTCGGTACCATTGCAGACCCGCAATTCGAAGCCCTCAAAAAGATCAGCTTGGACGCTAAGAGGGTTCTCTGGGTCACGCACGGCGGAAGTCCCAGCGCCAGCAACCCTGCCGCCGAGATGGCAGTTGGTTTCTCGAGAAGTATCTGCTCTGAGCGAGGTGACCAGGCTTTCGTTACCCTGAGTCTGGAGACCAACAACCCGGCTGAGGGTGCAAGCCATGTGCTCCGTCTTCTCGAGCATTTCAACAAGGTAGGAGGCAAGAGTGCAGATGCAGAGTCCGAGTATGCAGTGCACAACGGTCTCATCCACATTCCGCGTATCGTGCCGCAAAAGAGCGTCAACCAGACCCTCGCCGCGCGATCAAAACTCCCAGACAAAGTCACTTTCACACTGGGCCAGGCTGCTCCCAAACCACGGATAAACCTGACCATCCAACAACCCGGCTTGCTCGACACCCTATACTATACCGAAATCCCCACGCCCAAACCAGAACTGCAATCTGGCGAAGTCGAGATCGAAGTAGCAGCCGCCTCCCTCAACTTCCGTGACGTAATGATCTCCCTAGGCCAAATTCCCGGTGACGGACTAGGCCTTGAAGGCTCCGGCACCGTCACTCGTGTCGGGCCCGACTGCAAATTCTTGCAACCCGGCGACCGCGTCATGTACTTTATCTTCTCAACGGGTGGCTGCTGCGGCACCTATGTGCGCTGCGACGAGGCGTCAACACGCAAGATCCCGCGCGAGGACATCTCCTTCCTTGACGCAGCTGCTATTCCTGCCGTTTGGGCTACTGTTGTATATGCGTTTGATTATGTGGGCCGGCTCCGCAAGGGCGAAAGTGTTTTGATCCATGCAGGAGCTGGTGCAGTGGGACAAGCTGCCATTCAGCTTGCACAGCTGCGCGAGGCAGAGGTCTTCGTCACTGTAGGGAGCGAATGGAAGCGCGAGTTGGTGAAGGAGCTCTACGGTCTCGCGGACGACCACATCTTCAACAGCAGAGATTCCAGCTTTGTTGGCGATGTTTTCCATGCCACAGCCAACCGCGGCGTCGACGTCGTCCTCAACTCCCTCGGCGGCGAACTCCTACAACATTCATGGCGCTGCACTGCACCCTTTGGCCGCTTCATCGACATTGGCAAAGCTGACATTCTTGCCAACAACACGCTGGAGATGGGCCACTTCCTACGCAACGTAACCTTTGCAGCTGTTGATGTCGCGGGAATGTACGCTGAAAATAAACCGCTGATGCAACTGGTGCTCAACGACGTGTTCAGCCTGTTTGCAGCCAATCCTAGCCTGCATAACCCCAAGCCGCTACATGCGTTTGCTCCGAGTAAAATTGAGGATGCCATGCGCGCTTTACAGGGCGGTAAGATTGCTGGAAAGGCAGTCATTGACTTCCAGACGTCGGGTGATGTGGTGGAGTATCAGCCCGCACAGACGCCGGCCTATGAGTTCAAGGCACAGGCTACCTATGTTATTAGCGGTGGACTAGGAGGTTTGGGGCGTGAGATTATGCGCTGGATGGCATCCCGTGGCGCGCGGCATTTCCTCGTCACCTCGTCGCGAGGCGTAGCCGGGCGCGCCGACGTGATTGCCTTCATCAAAGAGATGGAGGCTCAAGGTGTCGTGATCCACGCGCCGGCGTCAGACATCTCCAACCGCGCTGTCCTCGAGGCCACTCTGGAAGAGGCTAGCAAGACATTACCGCCAATCAAAGGCTGCATCCAGGCGGCGATGGTGCTGTCGGACAACATGCTGTCCAACATGACCGTCTCGCAGTTCCACCATGCGCTAGCGCCCAAGTACCAAGGCTCCTGGAATCTGCACGAGCTCCTGCCGAAGGACATGGACTTTATGGTCTTCCTATCGTCCATGAGTGGCATCATCGGTAACCCCGCCCAAGCCAACTATGCAGCCGGCAATACTTTCGAAGATGCGCTCGCCCGGCACCGCGCCGCCAGTGGGCTCAAGGGCGTCTCATTTGATCTCGGATTGGTCCTGGAGGCCGGTTGGGCGAGTGACAACTTTGAAGACGTGACGAAGAGTTTGCGCGCTGGACTTGGTGGATTAACGCAGAAGCAGCTAATGGCCATTCTGGACGTGTTGTGTGATCCAGCCTATGACTGCGCGGGCGGTGCGGCGCAGGTGGTGAACATCCATGATAAGCCTTCGAAGCTGTATCGCATGTTCCAGGATGGTGTGTTACACTGGGTGGGTAAGCCGCTTTTCAAGAACCTCCTTCGTTTGGGTCAGGTCGAGCTGGTCAACGGCACCGGGGGTGGCAGCGACGGTGAGGCGACGGCGGTTGACTACCTCGCACTCATCAGGGCGGCGGCTGATGCTGAAGAAGCCGGTCAAATTGTCACGCTGGCGTTGCTTGGAAAGTTGAGCAAGTCGCTATCGGTGCCGGCAGAGACGCTCGATGTCGGCAAGCCGGCGTATGTGCTTGGTGTCGACTCGCTCATCGCGGTCGAGCTGCGGTATTGGTTCCTCAAGCAGTTTGGAGTGGAGGTTCCTGTCTTTGTGATTTTGAAGAAGCAGCCGACAGTTGATTTGTGTCGGCATGTGGCGGAACAGGTTATTGCAGCCAAGTAATGTAGTAAAGGCTCAAGAGTCGAGGTACTTTTGTTTGATACCTTGTCCTAGCCGTAAGCGGTTGCTGGAAAAAAGGGATTGCGGCCCTGGATCTCTTGACCGCGGGTTTTCCAATCTGCTCGCTCGTAGCGAGCGCGTTTACATCAGAGAGGAAAAACATTTGAGAATTGATTTAGCGTTCGATCCGCAAACAAAATCATCCCTCTTGGACCCGAATATATTTATTCTCTTGTTTCGTAAACTAGCTTTGGCTGGAGATTGCTGTGGTTTTGAAGAAACAGTTGATTTTCAAGTTTGTTCGGCATATTATGAGCCAAATCGCTGCGGTTGGATGGGGTCAATGGGAGCTGTGATGTGAGTATGGAAGAGATGCCTGTCGATGGGCAGAAGTCAGGTCGCATTGGCAGCGCTCGGGCCGTCATCATACTCTACCGCGACGGCAACGATACTGCTGCAATGGTCATTGAATCTCAATTCAAGTAGGAATTAACAATGCTATTCAATAGCAGCCCCTCACTTTTCAGCCAAGATTCGAACCGCACGTGTCTTACTCGCCTAAACTCGCACTTACTCTACGCTTCAGGAGTCACAGCTACCGTATGCAAAAGAGCTGTGTTTGACAACGTATAGAATGAGTATATCTATTCTTCAAGTCTTGAGTACACACAATCAGAACGAGCATCCAGATTAAACTCGGGCGAAAGCTGGAGCAAACCACGAGTATCCCATCCAGTCCAATCGAACACTATTCTTCCCAGACAGCTTCGATAATTGCCAGTTTAGATCCTTGAGGCTGATAGACTTCGCGGAACTTGAATCTCCCATCCGCTTCTTGAAGCAAAATCTTCCACTCATCTAGAGTGCGTTCCTTGGCATTGCCAATTTCCAGCATGACCAGATCGACACTCCTAGATGGCTAATTAGTATCGTCGCAGCGAAACAGATGGATCAGTTGCAAGCTTACCTAATTTTTCGGTCAATGTCATTGGGAAGTACACATGGAGGCGGCATAATCGTGTCCACGATCAATAGCCGTGAGCCCTTCTTCAAAGCCGGTATCAGTGCCCTGAGCGCTTTGAAGCAATACTTGTCAGACCAATTGTGTAAGACCCGGCGGTAATAGTGAACGTCGGCGCCTTTGACAGGTTGCTCATCAAAGAAATTGTGGGCCATAAACTTAACGTTGAGGCCATCCTGTTCTTTGGAATTCGCAACAACTGCTGGGAGCTCTTGCACTATGAGATGGAGGTCGGGGTGTTTGCGAGCGAGAGCAAAGGCTGCGTCGCCGTGAGAGCCGCCCATGTCTATAACGGTACCTGAAGCCACAGACTGCCACGGATATCCATCTGTCAAGTGGCGCAACGAAAACCCGTCGCCCGTGGCGAGGAAGCTCATCGCATCGCCAAAACGACGAGCTCGTGCCGGATCGCTGTCTAGCACTGCATAGAAAGGCAAATCGGTTCCGTGTGACAGCGAGAATCCCTAGCAACGGTTTAGTTTCCTGCCTCAATTGCTTGGGATGGGTATTTACGGTGTGATTGGGTTCAGTGGCCTCGGGCCACTTCTCCAATGCCTCCACAAGCTTTTCAGCCGCAGGCCACATCTCTTCAACATTTGTTCTAGCCCAGTCTAACGCACCGTGATCATCTGCAAGCTGTCTCGAAGCTGCAGAGTGCGCCATCACGCCAGGGCGAGGCTCTTGAAATATGCGATGCGCAATGCCCATGCGAAGGATACGTGTGACAGCTCCCTCGTCCAGACCTATGCTTGCTGCAACCTCTTTGAATGTTGATTCGCCATTCACCGGCACCTTTTTCGCGATATCATGACGAGCGATGAGTTTGAGATGGACCAATAAATTAGACTAAAAATTTATAAGTGCAATTCTGCTTTACGTGGACAGATGGGATTCAAACCTGATGGTTGAAGAGGAGTCCCTTTGGACCTTTGAGAAGATCGTTCAGCTCCTGAGTTGCTCGAAGAACGGCAATACGCGACTCCTCGATGTCGGCAGGTAGTCCAAGATCGACCGGGCAGTCAATATCAAAAGACGGCTGTGGCAGGTTCTTCTCGGACAGAAATCCATCCACTCGCGCAGTGTGATGTGTGATGGCAGCGGCCAGCTCGGCTATACGGCTTGGTGATGAAGCCATGATGATTGAGTCAAAGTTCAAAATCGAGCAAACCTTCCATTCAGCTCCCTATCGCGTCTTTTATATCTTCGCCCTCGGACACCGAGGCACATCTTTCCATATTGGTGGCAGACTGCGATTCATTTCACGGTTCGTTCTGTGTCGCCCCCGCGGGAAGTAGGCGTCTGGCCCGCTCTGACAGGGGTCTTTGCTGTGTAAGCCGCGTCTGTTGTCTCAGCTCTCCACGATACTAGACGCGATACGGAACTTTGATAGAAATGACTAGAGAAATACAGCGTATGGTCGCCAGAAGTAGCCTATCGTGATGCGCTGGTGGCGTGCGGGCTTGTGCGGCTGATGACCCTGAATCGCTGTTGTCAAAGAGTGAGGCACACCGAGAACGTCTTGAATGTTGTTGTGAGCTTTCCTGATCTGTAATTTATTGATTAGATGGAGGCGATATCTGTAAGATAAGGCAAAGGAAGATGTTTATAAATGGCAACATCCCACTTGAGAAAGAGGGGTGCAGGTAGGTAAGTAAGCAGGTGGGTCCCAAGTGGCTGACTGGGCGCGGCTAGCACGAGTGGCGATCTCAGCTATCTGCATATTCTGTGTACCAGTCACGTGCGAGTGTCTTGTTTTCTATTCATTTGTATAGACTTTACAATTGGCAATAATTATTGCTAACTAGCTAACGCAATAGAGATATCCAGAGGTGTATTTCTTTTTGAACAAAACTGTTCGTCTTGTCTCTGCAGTCCTCGAGCCCATGCACACAGTTGTTTCATTTTTGCCTCATAGTAAACTGAAAAATGAATTCAAGAGTCCTTGCACATAGAATTCGAAAATAATGTCTATAACCTCTTGTCTACATAGTGTTGGTTGCTGTGTCATTTCATCTGCGTCTCTTGAGTCAAGCCCTTATTACTTAGCCAACAAAAAAATGAACGTCGTCTTCCAACGTTAGCGGCATACGTTTCAAGCATTCCTTCATTCAAACAATTCTACTTGCTGTCATAATCATAATCCCCAACACCTCTTCTCTCATACGTCTTCCTTCAATTCCACAAAAAAACATAGCCAGCCAATCATCGTGGTGGTTATGGCAATCCAGTCCTCCACCTCCACACAACCAAAACATCAAAAACTGAGAAGAGCATTGCAAGCTCAAAAAGATTGAGCCCGACGTGGGGGTCGAACCCACAACCTTGAGATAACCAATCGAGTCTATTTAGGACGTGAAAGCTAAGAGTCTCACGCTCTACCGATTGAGCTAGCCGGGCTTGATGTTGTTTGATGGAAGAAGAATTTGTTTCTACAATTATATTGCGAGCAACAACAGCGATATCTGCTTTGATAGTAAGCTTCGAAAATTGCAAAAAAAAATCGTTTCATTCTTGACTCGTAACCATGGCTGTGGTGGGCAGAGAAAAAAATTTTCTCTTCGCATGCCAGAGTCACGCCGGCGGCGGGTCGGCGAACACCGTCTTCGGCAGATTTCTGGTAACGGCTGGTTTCAAGCATAGACATGCCTAGTTGCAGTTAGTCTCTTTTTCTCTCTCCCAATGGCGTTATATCCTGTGATTCTAGAGAAATTGAAGCGAAGAGTGGGTATTGTGCTTGTTGGAATCTAGTAGTAGACTTGGGGCCGTCTTAACGACATGCAGCGGCTGTTGCTCGATTCCCCGCAAACGTGGGTATATCGGCGCTCAGGGCCATCTCATGAGCATAGTCCCAGACATATATCATACATCTTGGTAATATTTTCTTTGATACCAGGCTCCTCAGTGAAGCAAGCTCTTCTCAATCGAGGGACTAAACGGGAGCCGCTGGCCGGCATCTGCCGGCACATACCCGCTGCAGCCGGCAGTTCTATCGCAGCAATGCGTCGAAAGGTGTAGTGGATGTCAAACTTGCACATATTGCGAGTCAGAATATACGAGAACAAGACGCCATGATAGCATCAAACAAGATGCTTAGTGTGAACGTGTAGTTCTTAGACGCCTCACCCCACTACGTATGCCGACGCACAGACCTCCGCACATGCTGAACAGTGCCCAGATACAAGCACTGATGCTTCACCACTGCAGCCCCGAGTAAAAGAACAATGATCAGGATTTTTTTGGTGTATCTAGGGTATATAGGCCGTCAAGTCGTGTGCACATCATGCGTTACAGAAACCGAGAAATGGTGGCATTCAAAGCACCCCATCCAGCCTCGAAGGCTCATGCTAGCGAAAAGTAAATAAAGACAGCATCCAAAACGCCTCGCTTAGACCAGTAGAACCTGCTCTCACAGCAATCAAACGTCTCCAATGTTTCGTCTAGGCTTCTCAGCGATAAACGACCTCTTCCCTAATCACCGATCGTGGCGGCGCTGAAGCTGGCGGCGCCGGCAGGCTCAAGCGCTTCGTTTCCACTTTTGATTCTTTCAGATCTGGTTCGCGTTCTAGTTCCGTCGCATCATGATATGTGCCGACGTGTTTGACTAGGCTTTCCACGGTCCGACAAATGGCATCCACTTCGCTGCCCTTGTTGCAAATGGTACACGCGTACTCGCCGTCTGGGGTGTGGCACTTGACGACGAAGCGCTGTCCAAGGCGGAACTCACGGGTCTCCAGTATTTCTGATTCATAGCCCGTGGTCTTGTCATAGACTGTAATGGGTATTCGCTTTCCTATCATCCAAAAGTCCTCGCTAGTGACGTCGGCTTGAATACCGCAGACAGGACATACACATCTGCCTCCTGGCGCAAAGGTAGCTGCCAGGGGCTTACTTTGGGAATGTTGGAGATCGAGGGCATATTGGCAAAAGAGCTGTTCGGGGCCGTCGGGTACAACCGTCGGCGCGCGTTGTGAGAGCGGGAGCGAGCGTGGAGGCGATAGAGAACGATGAGACCTACTGCCAACTTGGGAGCCTCCCAGGCGCCGTTGGGCTTGTCGCAGGGCTTCGAGGGAGCCTTCTCGAGCTTGATTGGAGGCGGCGATGAGTTTTGATATGTCGGAGTGGGAGAGTTGGCGGTCGCTGTAGAGAGCGTCCTGGAGGACACTGATAACGGTCTGCTGGAGGGAGATGATTTGCGCTTGGAGTTGATTCTCGATAATTGCTGCTCGCGTCAGTATCGGACCTCTAACATTCTGGACGGGCCACATACGATCACCTATTGCGAATCGGTTGCCCATTCTTCCATAGCCTTGATCATACATTCTCTGGACCATCGTCATGTCCCTCTCAAAAACATTTCCCACATCGTCCCGTCCTCCATTCCGTAACCGATCGATTTCCTGCTGTCTCTTTTCTGCCTTTTCCTGCGCCTCTTGAAACGCCGTCTTTAGCCCCTTGATTTCCTCGTCCTGCTTGGAATCGGTTTGTTTCTGTCGGCGCTGAGCGCGTCTATCCGCAATACGTTCCCAGAGGCCCAGAGAGGCTGAGAAAGTGCCGACAAGGGTCGAGGCCAATGTAGCGACGATGAAGGTTTGCTAGGCACGTCAGCTTAACCACGCAACTCCAGCTCCGAAGCGGCTACCTTGAGTTTCTTCTCTTCTATCCATGATGCGTAGTTCATTCTGGCAGCTGTCTCGCTGTGTTTCCACACTCACAGCCACGTTTCGGAATACGAATCGTAGGAATGTTACAAGGCCGAAGGCGATACAGACAGCGTGTGCTCAACGCAAAGAGAATACTCGCAAGATTCCCGTGTTGTTTCTAGCACAAGTAACCGCGCATTCAGGCGACCAAACGGAGATTGAGGGATAGAGAGGAAAAGAAGAGCGCGAAAGCTAAGGCCCATGGTGTCCCCCTCTCGTGCAGAATGACGCACGCGGCCGCTGGGGCTCAGCTTGTGACTCGGCTCATTGTACCTCCGACCCCAACACTAAGATCAGCCGGGCATATGTAGTGAGGCTTTTGATTGCATAACAAGGCGCATAATCACGGGCGGAGATGGCTGACGGCGTGCGTGTTGAACGGCGCAAGTGAGGGAGCCGCGCCCACAGAGTGCAAAGCGCGATGCGTGGTGACGTCATGCCGGGGGCCGCACCGGCTTCAACCCAGTTCGCACGACATCACCTGCTGGCAAATGCCGAGGAGCTGAACAATGGCATTCTACGCTTTGCCAAAGGAGTCTTGCGGCAATGCCATGTATGCTGTTTCTTTTCTTTTTCTTCTTTGTCTAAACTCGATGTTTGTACACGCTTCCAGCTCCTCGGACACCCTACGCCGTAATGTGCTCGCAACATGATGCGCAACGGAGTCAATCAACGGCCCGGGTCAAATTATAGCCGTGTGTTGCGTGAATATAGAAGATCATTGCCCTGGTATACGTAAGCTGACTAGACTACTTTTCCTTGGGCTCGAACAGGGAACGTTGTTGGGCAACACGGCTGCACAACACCAAACTTGCTCGATCGTCGCACAAGGACCGAGACCAGGACTTTGGACACCGCCACGCTGGATATTGTGTTTGAAAACGACTTCAGCCCACTAACAGAAAGACCAATGGTTTCTCTATCCACGGCATTCCGGTAAGGCAGCAAGGCACCTACGACGCGTGTCAACCCAACCAAATTTGCAACTGGGATGCACCAGTCGATTGATGTCGACATCACGGCACAGTTCAGACTGGTTCCGACAGCTATGTATCTATACTCTCTTTGATGATTCTCGCAGAACTATCACGACGCCTCGTACGCAATGGTCAGCTTACCCAGCACTAAACCTACGCACCCAGTCCACCCAACCCACAGGCATTTGCCTACCACAAGAAGCAACTCCATCCAGTCCGGATATTTCCGACTAAAGCGACGAAGCGAGAAAGCATATTCTCCGCCAAACTACAGCCCACACCCACCCGTCAGCACATCGACGACTTCCCTCCGAAACTCCAACATGCCCACCACAGGATCCCCACACCCCCACGTCAAACACTTCGTCACGACCCTTGCATACCCCTTGCCCATCTCCCTCTCAATCTCACTACTATTCGCCCAACCCAGCATGGCATTGTGGACCCGGCGGAAAACCTCGCGCTGGTTCGCCCTCTCGAATCTCGGCGTCTTCTCCAAGCGCCTCGCAAACACACTGCTCATTGTGCGCCAAAGCCCAAGTTCAAGCAGCACAACACCGAGAGAATAGACTTCATGCTCGTTCCGGTATTCAGCACTAGGATGTCCAAAGCGCTCGCCGTGCCGGTATAGATTCTGCTCTAGCGGAAAATACCGTGTGTTTGTGTCGAGGGACTGCAGAACCCCCCAGCCTATCAGGAATGGTGACAGTTCGGGGTCTTGGAGAGAGCGCGGCAGCATGGCTATGCTGCGCGAGGTGATATTTCCATGGACCCAGCCTGAAGCGTGAGCCTCGAGGACGCTTGTTGTAAGCGCACGAGCAGTCAGGAAGCGCGAACTGAGCGAGGGTCTTGCAGTCGGGCCTTTGCAAATCATGTCGTGCAGGGAGGGGGGATTAGAGGCCCAAGGGTGGGATTGCGGGGCGCGGTAGAGAATCAGGCTGCGTTTGTTGAGCGGGTCATCAATGTAGCCCATGCAGCTGAGCGTGTGGAGTTGATAGCCGTCTTTTGCGTCGCTTTTCACGGCTACGTCGGTTTGGTGCGGCGCCTGCAGCAGCCAGGTTAGATGGCACAGGTACTCGGAGGGCGTATCGCTGTCTGCTCGCTGCTCGACAAGGACATCGACTTCCTCGCCGCCGTCGTGGTAAATGGTCTTGGTGAGCCCGTGGGATGCCACCCGATCGGCAGCCATGGTATCCCGCAGCGCCCCAACAAGCGCATTGTAGTTGCCCGACGGCTCAGAAACAGCTCGATGCTGGCGCTCAAGCTGCTCTGCAACGCCTAGAATAGCGGCTTCGCGCGTCTTGCCAAAGCCTGCTGTCGGCGGCCCAACGCCCAGAAACACCATCTCGAGACTTTGCCGCAGGCGATGCGTCCATTTCAAGCAGCTCGCCGCCACACTGAGCATCTCCTCCTCGCCAAACAAAGTGTCGTACAGATCAGACCGTGTCTTTTCCCTCCAACCTTGCCATGGCTCTCTGATTTCGCCGTGCCAGCCCTGCGTGTCAAACCGGGCGTCGAGCGTTACTGCGCGGCCGCGCTTGAGACTCTCCAAGTTCTTCTGGCCCAACACGGAGCTTGCACTATGTTCGCCGCTGGCCCGCCATGCCTCTCTATGCGCAGCAAGCGCCTTGTTCAGCGCAAACAGAGAGCGCTCTATATCGCTGCCCAAGGCAAAATGCACGCGGCTATCGCGCAGCAAGCCCGTGACGCGGCCAAAACACACGGTGGAAAACACTTCGAGGAACAGCAGTGTCCGGTCCAAAAATCCCGTGCTAGCTACCGACCCAGGCGTATCTTGCACAGTATCGCGGATGAATCTCAAGGTTGCGCAGATGACTATAGTCGTGTTAGTTTAGCAATAGCTTCGATGTATCCTGCATAACACGCAATCCACCGTCCTCGGCATATCGGTGCCTGGTGTAAAGCATCCCCCTGGGAAAAAAAAAGGCATGAAAAGCTACGCATGAGTACGGGAACAAGGCATAGATGTACTTACGAGCGACAAGCTCCACCGACGCATCAACGCGCTCCATTGCAACCCCCCTTTTTTTTCTCCGCGTAAAACAATTATCCCCCCTCGTAACGTTCCGCCGTCGATCAGATTCCCCCCTCCCCAGACCCTCGAAAAAGAAAAATGTGCAAGCAAAAAACTAGCTTTTCTTCTTCGTTTCTTTGTTTTCTTTTTTTTTGGATCGTTTCTGCTCTCAGAGTGCAAGTAGCTGTAAGTAAGTACTCTCCGTTGTCACAGTACTCATCCACACATACATACGCGACGCGATACAAAAAGCCGCAATTTCCAACGCCACTTGCAGACGTGCCAGCCACTACGTAGGGTATACCGTACAGTAAGTAAGTACTCACTCGATCGCAGTCGGTGGTCACGTAAGTAATTACATTGTGGGGAGGAAGGGGGGGGGCGGCTAAGCTCCATCTAAGCCACTATGCTAAGTGCACCTACTTGTACCTAGGCGCCCTCCCCTCCCGCTGGGGCCACTACTTCCACATCAGTGCTAATTATAAACTATCATCCTGCCTCGCCACACCGGGTACGATTCAGAGGTCATGCTTCCATGGCCGGGGGGGGGGGGGGCCAAAGTAAGGGTATGGTATGGTATCCTTGTGTATGAGTAATGACAATAGTGAGGCGCAATCATGGCGATGCTGATGCTGATGCTGAGGCTGAGACGGAGGAAACAAGGTACATGTATGTATGTATGTATGTATGTATGTATGTATGTATGTATGTATGTATGTATGTATGTATGTATATAAGCAAAGTCCCAGTCCCAGTCTAAGCACGTACTATACATATAAAGTTACTTTACATCTATACCAACTACTTACTTACCCTGCCCAGCCCTACCCTACCCAGCTACTATATTCAGCAATCTCCGTCGGCGCTCAGACCCCACACAATCCACCAGCCACCCGTCGCCGCCGCATGCACGTGCACGTGTGTGTGTGTGTGTGTGTGTATCAGATGGGGGGGGAACCCTTACTTACTTACTTACCCTCCTGCACCGCATCTTGTTTCCCTGTTCTTTCCCTTTTTAATAGCATTCTCTTTTTTTGATATCGTATAGACGAGGAATAACTCAACAAATCCCGGTACTTAGGTGCGTGTGTCAGGGACCCTTTCTTTTTACTTGGGGAAAACATTGGGTGGGGGGGGGTATATATATTTTATTTTATTTTATTTTGTGTCTTTCATGCGAAACGCCGTGGCGGGCGGTGCCGGTGCCGGTGCCGGTGCCGTGGGGGATGGGGGGATGGAGCTGCTTGTGCTTGTCCGAAACAGTGGGCAAGGCCGGGGGTGGGAGGGGGGGGGGAAAGGCTGATGATTGCTGATCACGTGGGTTCTAGGCTGGTCTGGCCTGTGCCTTATAATAATAACAAGTAGTTAGTAGTAGTAGTAAAAAAAAAATCTTATGCTTACTTACCCCATGGACAGGGATGCAGGGAATCACACACCGGGTAGATCCGGGCGCACAAGCCTCCTCGTCTCGCAACGTGATCCGGCTCATGACTTACTTACTCACTGCTGTTTTGCCTGATTCAGGGCTTGTGTCCACGCCCCCCCCCCCTTCGGAAACATGGCAGCCCGAAGCACAGCGAGACTTTGTTCAGTGGGGGGGCAAAGAGGGAGGGGGCCAATGTAATCTTGTACCATGTAACAACCGACTCAGGGTACTTATGCGCCCAACGACGCGTAACCCGGCCACACACATAAATCACGCAGAGTACCAAGACCGGCTATAGGAGGAAATAAAACAAGTCATGTATTCCGTCGACGGGGGCATTAGCAACAGGCGAGCTGCAAGCATATTACCCCATCACCCGTCAAGACACTCACCGCCGCGTGTCAACTAAATACTATGGAACAGAAGGAAACAGAAGAAGAAGAAAAAGGAACAAAGCCAAAAAGGAAACATCCAAAACGCTACGTAGACATCGTTCCATTGGGCCTTTCCATCATCACCGTCATGAAGCGTCATAGCTTCCGTTTTCTGCCAACACATCGACTCTGCTTACTTTTTTGCCAAGGGAAAAAGGAACCCCAACATCTGCCACGTAGATCCAGCCACACCATAACATCAGAAAGGGTATTACATCCACCAACAAACAAAAAAGTCCGAAAAGCCTCCGCGAGGAGCAGGTATAGTGCGAAGCTGAAAAGGAAAAGAGAAAAACATAACAGGGGGGCAGGAGATATTCGAGAACGAACAAACAAAGCAACAAAGCTCCCAGAATAACGTGGCAGAGGGAGAAGGCATGTAGAAGCAGCCTGTGTGGTTGTGTGCCAATTCCTTTTTTTTTGCGCGCGCGCGCATGTCATGGTGTTTTGCGTGAGCGTTCCAATCTAGCAAACCGTATTACCGTGACAAAACAGAGCTGTGGGGGGAACGCAGCAAACTTGCAGACACAAAACGCGAGTGGGGAATCCAAGTCGAAACCAGCATCGAGGAACGCGACAAAACAACCGACCAAAACTTTTCTTGCAGAACAAAAAAGGGCCCCTGAAGACCGGCAATGTTCAGGCAAAGCTTTTGTTTCACATGCCTTGGACCCGCTAAAAAGGAAAATGGAAAGAGGCTTTTGGGTGAGCAAAGAAAATAAATGTCAGATAGCCAGCCATTGGGGAGCCACTGCAGGAGAAGGGCTCAAGGACGTTTGTGGGCGTCGTGGAGACTGCCCAGGACGTGGACAATTCTACTCGCCATAGTACGAGCTGGTGTTGGCACGTTGACGCAGCGGTCGGGCGCCGTTGCTCCGTTCGGGGCGGATGACCTGGCTGTCTCGCCTCTTGCGGGTGCTGCGTGAACTGCCTTCGGTCATCTCCTCCGTGTGTCGCCGTGAGGGTCTCAGGGCCAATGCTTTTCGGTCGTCTGCATTGCTGCCCCGGTCGCTGCCGTGATAGGCATTCTCACGGCCTCCGCTGATGACGAGGTCGGCCATGCCATTTTCAGCGGGGATCAGGCGCATGGTGCGGCCCTCCATGTCGCCGTTGAACTGCAGGCTGAGTGGAGCATTGGCGTCGACGCGGAGACGAATCTCGTTGTTGTCATTGGTGACGGCAGTGCGGTTGGTGCGGCTCCTCTCGCTGCCAGAGGAGCCAGAGTGAGAAGGCATGGAAATGGTTCTCGAGTTGCGCGCAGCAGTGTGAATGGGCTCGTTCAGGGGCTCACGAGCTCCACGCTGAGCACTAATGTACTCCTCTGCGGCATTCTCGATGCGCTTGGTCTTGTGCTCAAGAACACGCTCCTTGCCTTTGCCATTGCCCACGTCGGTTGGACGGCGGCGGCGGGTTTGGGGCGGAGGTGCGGGTGCCTCGGGCATGAATTGCTCTTGCTCGGATTCTTCCGACTCGGAGTAGTCGTCGCTGTCGTACTCCGAGGGCTCCCGGTGGTACTGCTTTGAGCTTCGGTTCAAACGCTTTCGCTCAGCGAGCTCGAGTTGCTGTTGTCGTTCTTCTTCGGCTCTTCTCGCGTCGTCACGGGCTCGAGCTTTGGCCTCCTTTGTAACCTTGGGACGCTCTTGGGTACGTCTTTCCTCGGGATAGTGCTGGTAGTAGACCTGGGCCGAGCGACGGCGCTCAGACTTGCTGTTGGCAACAACCACCTGGCCACGTGGCGTGGCGTAGTCGGATTGGATTTGGCGCGGAGGGGCCGGTGGCCGGCTGACCGATGCACGGCGCGAAGGTTCTTCCACGGGCTTGGAAGTACGCTTCCGTCGACGGTCATCAATGACCAGGGACTGCGGCTGAGGCTGGGAGTGGGACATGCGGCGAGAAGGACGTTCGTCGACCACTTGGGTCGTGTTGGCGTGGCGCATGGGTGGGCGTTGTTGCTTCTTGGTCTTGGACTTGAGCTTGGGCTGGGCCAGCTTTGCGGGTGCTATGAGTGCTTGCTGGTTGCGTGGATCCCGGGGATCCGGCTGCTCGTAGTAGTCCTCCTCGTCCTCGGATGAGCCGGTCTCGGATTCGCTGTCGCTTTCGTAGGCGCCGTCTTGCAGTTGCAATTGCTGTGGGAACCTGGCCTGGGTGGCACTCTGGGGCTGGCCATATCTCGCCGAGTACTGCTGTTCACGAGGGGCCTGGCTGATGATGGGGGCTGGTCCGTTGCGTGCCGGGTTGAACGAAGTGCGAGACGGCATGCCTGGCCTTGGGGGACCTTCGTAGGGCGGGGGTGTGTGGTTGTAGTATGTAGGGTAGCCCTGAGGCCCGCCATAGGAGCCCATGGGAGGGGCTTGGTGGTATTGAGGCATGTTGCGCCAGGCCGAGTTGGAGGGCGGCGGGCCATGCTCTTGAGGCGGGCTCGGGTAGGGGGCGGGCATGCCCGGGGCCCAGTACTGGGAGTTGGGCTCACCACCGTAACTCATGGGACGTGGACGCGAGGCCGAGGGACGGCGACGGGCCACGGCTGGCTGGATGATGGCGGCCTCTTGCCGGTAGGCGGGGCGGCGGGCGGTCGAGGGCGAGGGCGGAGACGGGTAGTACGAGGCCGGGTCGGAACGCATTGAGCGAGTGTCAGCAGAGAGACGATCTACGTCGCGCGCAGACTGCGTTGGTTTGATGCCAGGACGCGTGGTGAGGTGCTGGGGAATTGCATTCGGACCGCACTTTGTGCACGTGGGATCGGGGCATTCGACTCTGCTGTCACGGCGGGTGCGTTCCGGGTGCGAGTCCTGGGTGATGGTGGGCCTTCGCTGCTTGACGACGGGCTTGGACGACTGCGAGGCGGTGCGCGAGGGGATCTTGGGGCGGGGCTGGTCCGACTGCGTAGGCCGTCTGGTCTTGGTGGTGTTGGTGGTGATGGGGGGTGGTGGTGGGCGTTGGTGAGGCGGCGGCGGCGTTGGGGCCTCTGGGGCGACAACGGGGGGAGGCGAAGGGGCAGCAGCGGCAGGCGGGCTGCGCTGGGAGTTTGGACTTTGAGCAGAATTAGTGCTGCTTACGGTGGCGGCGGTGTAGCTGCTGTACCCTGAGTCGGAGCGAAGGTCGATGTTGGTGGGCACCCGCTGCTGGGCGGGCGGCTTTTCTTTATTCAAGTCCGAGGGCTGCGAGGGCTTGGTGGAGACGTTAGCAGCATTGGGCGACGGGCGGCCCTGGAACTCGACGTGGCCTTCGTCGCTCTGATCGGAATGGTAGTCCTCGCAGGTGGGCTGCAGGTCCGCCATGTCGGCAGCAGCAGTAGCGGCAGCGGGCAGCGTCGTCTGACGGGGGGAAAAAAATTTGGAGTGGCAGTGGCGGTGGTGAGTATTTGGGGGGGGGGGGGGGGCAGAGCGAGGGCATCGCACCGCCCCCCCCCCAATCCCCGCGACGCTGCTATTATCGATAGCCCGCCAGCGCCCGCCCTTGACACGCTAGATATTTTGCCGACTCCTCCCTGCCCTTTTGCAGTGCTTGACGAAATCAGGCGAGACGTCGAGGGCGCATTATCTCAGAACGGGGACAAGGTTGGGAAAGGCCGTCTCACGAGCAGTGCGAGACATGTAGGTGGATGTGTAGTGGAATGGTGCAGCAGGAGGGAGGAGGGAAAACAAAGACCAGCGGCCAGACGGGGGGGGGTAAGAGGACGGGGGACGGGGGAAGGGCGGGGGGTGGGAGGAAGGGTGGGAAGGAAAGGGAAAAAAAGACGAGGGGCAGGCAAGTATGACGGGCGAGGGAGCCTGTTCGCGTGCGCGTGTGGGTGGACGGGTGGATGTGTGGGTGGGTGGGTGTGTGTGAGAGTGTGTGAGTGCGAGTGCGAGTGTGTGTGAGAGAGAGAGAGAATGCGCAGCAGACAAGCGTGACGGCGGAAAGGACAGGACAGGACAGGACAGGACAGACGGACAGGCAGGCAGGCAGGCATGCAGGCGAGTGCAGGCGTGTGCAGGCGCATTTCGGGCTTCGACACAGAAACTTTTGGCCGGCGGGGTGGGCGCGGGCGCAAAATTTCAAAACGGGGTGGTACTATATTCTGCCCTATGCCATGGGCGCAAACTGTTGGGCGCGCACCGCATCCGTCGCTGCCCAGTCACAGCGACTAGAGGCGTTGAACGAGAGCGCGCGAGGGGCTGCGCTGCCGCGTCTAGTTGCGCGCGGCCTTTGGGCGTGGCTGTCGCGGTGACGCAGCGGCCACCACACGGCGCCGTTGATTGACGGGCGCTGCGAGGGTGGACGGATGGATTGAGCGACTGACGGGCGGGCGGGCTGGCTGGATGGATGGGTGGGTGGATGGGCGCTGGCTGCGTGGTTGGATGGGTGGTGGTGGGTGGATGGGTGGATGGGCGCAATGCAGCCATGCATGCAGGCGCGCGGCCGCCCTGCCCTGCCCTGCCCTGCCCTGTCCTATTACTACTACATACACACTACACCTACATACCTGCTGCCCGCCTCACCCCCCGTACTCTACCAACTGCTATATCTCTCTACAGTACACGGCCCAGACACACCCGCCCCCGTGCCCGCCAGAAGCCGACTTGCCTGTTGCGGCCAGCCGGCCGAGGGCGAGGCCAAGTCTGCGACGTTTCGCCTTGTCGTCGAGCGTCGTGTGGTGGGCGGCGGCAGCGGCAGCCATTGGCCGCCGCGCGCGAGCTGAAACCGGGATTGCCCGGCCGTCTTCATGCGAGCCGTTCGCTTCTGAGACGTCGCCCATTGTCGCAGCCATGCCATATGCGCACCCGTCTTTCACCGCCTCGCCCAGCCCACGACGGCGTCACGATGCTCTCACACGCCCGCTCAGCTCCTCTCTACACGCACACGCTGCACTGCCGTGCCGTGTGCACCACCGCCTGCCCGCCATAGGTGTACGCTGCGCTGCGCTGCGCTACCCTACCCTACCCTACCCTACCCTACCCTACCCTACCCACTGCCCGTCTCCCCCTTGTGCTGCTCGCTGCTGGCTTCTCGCTGCTGGCTTCTCGCTGCTGGCTTCTCGCTGCTGGCTGCCCGCCGCCCGCCGCCCGCCTGCTGATCACCTTCTCGTCCCGCCACCCCTCCCACGCCTACACCTACTTCGGCTCCTAGGCTGCTCTCCATTCGGTGCAACCCGTCGGCACGGTGAACGGTTACAGGGCACATGTGCCTAGCTCCATGGCAATCTCTTTTTTTTTCTTCATGTTTTTTTCTTTTCCTTTTCGGCATCCTTGCTCTCCCCCCAATTTCACGTCATTGAGCCTCACCCGGGCGTCGTGTTTGGCTGCCGGCTAGCCTCTTTTCTCCTGGCTCGGCCACGTCAATGGCCTCTGCCATGCAGGAACAACAAAGCACTCACAGCACTCGCAGCCTCTCGTGGCCCTCATTAAATTTGCCCGGCACCCAGGGCGAAACAGGTGTCCTCTGGCCGCTGCGAGCCCTTCCGTGTCCGGTGTCGAGTCTGGCGGAACCACGTAAATCACGGCTGGCCCGCTAGCACGCTGGCTGTGGCTCTGGCTGTGGCTCTGGCCCTTGCTCTGGCCCTCGCTCTCGGTGCAACCACAAGCGCACCCGTGGGAAGCGTCGCGGGCGCAGCTTCCATCACGCGCCTCCCTCGTCAAGGCGGTGCTGGTGCTGGTGCTGGTGCTGACTGGGCCTAGCCTACGACACACATACTTACACACCACCAGCTTTCCGGTGAACAGATATACCACTTCGCCCCGGCCCCCGAACACGCGCAAATTATGCCCGTGCCCTTGTCGACGCCATTGCCTTTGACACTGCAATCTACCCGCCTCACCCTACAGTATACAGGCTTCTAGAATGTTGCACGCGCCCCAGCTCCCACCACGCACCCGCGCACGTCAGCCGTTGGCCGTTGTGGTGGCCATGTCCCGTGACTTGCCACTGCGAGTAGTACAGTAGTGGTAGTGGTAGCGCTGCTGCTGTCGTCTTCGCCTTGGTCTTGGCCTTGGCCGTCGCCACCCAATGCTCGCACACCACCACACCTGGCGCTGCATCTTTGTGCCACGGCCGCCCGCCGCGATGCATTCGCACTCGAGTCAATCATGCGCCAGATGGCCGCTCCCACTCACACTCCCGTCGTGCCTGCTGCTGCCGTCGGTACGACATGGATGGATGCCCCCCAGACGTGCGTCGCACACACATGGTGAAGATGAGCCTGTGCCGTCGTCATGCCCCCCCCAGCCGTGCGACACGATGGCGGGGTAGTGGGCGTAGATTGATTGTGCCCAATGGAGCATTCACATGATGGCTTCGCACTGACGTCTGATTAGACTACCACTACACTACTGGTGCCAGTGCCACCCCACCACCACTGCCACCCCGAGCCATGTCCCCATCCAAGCCGAGTCGCCTTGACACTTGAAACACACGGATTTCTGTTACCGCGTCTGCCCTGAAACCAGCGTAGGATGTGACAGGTGTGGGTGCGATATCGGCACATTGGTGTGCCATGGTGACACGGTGACAGCATCATGTGCCTCGGAGTGGCAAACATGGGCATCATCGGCCGTCGACTGCCAAACTCCATGGCGGTCCTCGCTGCCGCTGCTTGCACCGACCCGGCTCGCAAGGCGCCCTCTGCCTCTGCCTCTGCCGCGGGCGTACATGTAGAGGGCCATAGTCGCCGTTGGCCTTGGCGCGGGATGGGTGGAGGAACACGTGGGACGTTCGCTAAGAGCCGCCCAGCGCCCACGACCAGCCCCGCGGCCTGGTCGTGGCCGTCGCCCCAAAAGTACCGTGCCAGCAAAAAAAGTCGCGAGACGTTCTTTTCGCTCCGTTTGTTGCTTTCAACGCACTATGCAGCTTCAGGCGCGGGCTGCAATTCCTCTCTAGACGGCGGACCGCTCCTCTGCCATGTGTGAGTCACCTTCACCATGTCACTCGGCCTCGGCATGGCTGGCCTTCGCTGCCCAAGCGCATCCCGATTGGGCTGCTCGTCGCCCGTCTTGCGGCTCATGGCTGCCCTACGGACCCACAAGAGACTTTTTCTGCTGCCATTGCCTCGCGGCGAGCGGCCCCGAAGTGCCCAAAAGGCCCCACCCGGGCGGCTAGAGTGGGTAGTGGGTGAAATTGGTCCCGACTGCCCTCGCCGACGTGTATACTGTAGCAGAGCATGGGCATGAGCCTGAGCCTGAGTGTACCACGCGACAGGCCGACGCAGCCTCACGCTCCCACAAAATGCTGCCAAACACCACCCGCCCGCGCGCATGAGATGAGATGAGCTGCTCCTGCTACTGCTAGCACTGGGCCAGCTGAGTCGCATGACATGCAAGTCATTGACTCATCGCTCACCACGACCCAAGATCGCACACACTCACTTGGCTCCCCGGGCTAATTTAGCTCGCCCTCCCTTCCATGGTACCGCTCCCATGGGCACCCTAGTGGCGTTTTTTTGCAGACCAGCCACGCGCATCCCGCGCAAACGTCAGCCTTGCATTGCCGCCCTCGTCGTGCTGCCCTACCTACCTACCTGTACATACACCTACATACATACATGCACATACACACTACATACACACTACATACCCATACACCCCCCATGCAACACACTAACCTTTGTCCCTATGCCCTTCTCTTGCACCACCCCATGGGAAAATGCACATTCTAACGCCTTTTTGCCATGGATCGCCAGGCACCATTCGTTCCTGGCCTTGCTCTTCTTCTTCTCCTTCCAAGCTTGCACCCACTAGACCAAATCCTTTCTTGCAGGGGGCGGGCAGCGTGCTTAGCCCAGTCGAATGACCAAGTCGAAAAGCTAGGACCATGTACATGTCACATGTTGACATGTCGGTGTCGCCAAGTTTTTTTTCTTCTTCTGATATCCCATGTAAACCTTAGTTCCGACACGCCAAAGACTGCATGCGCATCAGTGCATATCTATATCCATCACCCATACCTCTACATACCAAATCCCGGGATTCCTCATCCATGCCAACCCCACGCCTCGACAAGGGAAAACAAACACCAACTATTGCCCGAACGCAGCTAAAAGCAAACAACAATGTCGGCGTAGCAGCCTCGAAAAGCAATACCGCAAACAAGTAAAATAAATAACCCGCGCCATATTCTCCTCCTCGGACGTACAATGCCTCAACAACTTTCTTTCTGACCCAAACAAATTTCCTAGTCTTTCTTGGTCCGGGTGTCCATGCCTAGATACACTACAACACAGTGACATATGGGCAGGCTGGTGCTTACCAGCCTTCTCCCTTTTTCAGCCTTTTCATATTATCCCTGCATCTATGTAGCGTGCAGATGATGATGATGATGATGATGATAATGATGCTGATGATTACGACAATAGAATATAAATGAAATAGATATCAAGGTACGCTAAGAGAATTCCTTTTTGTTACTTACTCACAACGACGATGCCATCTCGCAGCCCAAGAGTAAAATAGAGAACAGACCAAGACACACAATTGTCACGCATATAACTGGTAACGAGCTACAATAGCTATGTATTTACGTACGGGTTTGCCGATTTTCTCTACCTCGTTTGGCTATCTGATATACACTTGGTTCATACACTGTCACGTGATTATCCCTTTACTATACTTGTACAGGGTAAAACTCCATGGCTTTTATTTTAATTTGAAGATTCATCATGGTAGCTTACATGTCACTGACTTGGAGTGATATGCTGATTAAAAGGTAAATAATAATAACAATAATAATAGGAGTGTTAGAATCAGTTAAAGAGATCCATGTGTAGCTTCTTGGAGTCGCGGGAAATATTCTACATGGATACTAGGAGCTGAATTTCTATAATTGCAACTACTGGCACTTTTCTACGAGAAATGGTTTCTACTACAACTTCTACTGCCGGATGGCACTGACCAGAATAGTACTAGCGTCAAATGGTATATACCTGCTCCCTCCGTAAGCTTCAATACACTTCTACACGTCACACACCAACTTTTAAGCAGAAATCTTTCATCAAAACTCGTCAATTTTCTATCAGATATAGGGGTAACACGTCGCGAGAAACCGATTTACGCCACCTCTAATGTGTGCAGCCCTCTCGTTGAGGTGCTAGAGGGGGTATTGTCGGTATTCTTGCGACGTGTTCGAAATGCGAAAATCTTCGAGAACGCACAGACCGCCCCGATGACTAATAGGGAGACTACTAAACGAAACCAAAAACAATTAAAAACACCAAATAAAACAACAAAAATCAAAAATCCTATATCTAAACGCCGAGACAGCCTGATCCCGCTGTGGCACTATATCCAACCGCCAGGACAGTCTTTGCCTACTGTGGCACAAAATTCAAAAACGCTATAACAGTTTTCTGGTCTGTAATAGCAAAATAAGTCGAAACGCCGAGACAGTCTTCGCCTACTGTGGCACCAAATCCAAACGCTGATACAGAGACTGGTTACCTCTGTAGAAGCACCAAGTCGAAACGCCAAGACAGCTGCTACTCGCTGGGCACTAAGTCGAAACGAGAGAGTTACTCACTAAAACTTGAGATGAAGACTCATTAAAAATGAACGAGAGAGTTACTCATTAAAACTACCTAAGTCGAAACTTTTTCTTTTTTATCCCTAAA